ATAGTTATTAAATTAGTAGTAATTTAGGTTATGATAATAGTATACTATATATATATATATATATATATATATATATATATATATATAATTATATTATATTATATTATTTATATATATTTCGGTATTTAACCATGATCTTTTAATCATAGTAGCACTCTTGTATCTTGATGTTATTACAACTCTCAATCCTTATATTGGAGAAATTTGTTTTTTTATATCATCCCATAAACTCTTTTACATTTTCATATACCTGTTCAGCAATCATACATTGTGCAGAATACTATTTAGTTATATTATTAGTCCAAGTTATGATTAGAATAGAATAGGTTTTTTTAAGTAAATTTTCTTGTACTACAAGGTATTGGGATACAAATAGAGTTTTTTTTTTTTTGTTATTGTAGAGCTTATTAGCTTCTTTTTGTTTTCTTTTTATTTTCCATAGTTCTGTGGTAGGATTCAACTTGGCATATAGCATTTGCAATGCTTAAGCCCTAGCCTAAATCCGAGAGTCTATGAGCTTTATTTTCTATAACAAGTCCGTTGTTTCAAGAAAAAGCCTAGAATAATTGGGTTCAATGTGTATCACATTTTTGGTCTAATGAGGATGAGGATTATAAACTCTCCCTTAACCAGTTCCAGGCTCAGGTAAAGGAGGTGGGTTGAGTTAGGTAGGCAGCCAATGTATAACTTTGCTACATCTTATCATGATTAATGATCCCAAATCATTAGGATCAAACTTGGATGATGATAACTTGGGATATATATATGCTTATTACTTGAGCATATACAAGTATACAACTTTATAATTTCATGAAGCTCATTCTTTTTTTTCATTTTTTTACTTTTATATTAACTTATAAATTATAGGGGAATTAATGTAAATATCCATTTTTGTGGATATTTAAAAATTAAAAAATTTCTCAAAAGGATTCAAATTTTATATAAATGTTCCTTCTTTGCCCTTTTATTTTTCGTAAAATGGCCATTAGTTTGGTACGCTTTACTTCCAAACTATGTTAAAGTTGGTTTTTGCAAAGAAATATTGTCCGGTAATTAGAGTTCCGAACATATTCATGCCTTTGATAAAGTTTGGTACTGAGTACTAAGCAAATTTTAAAATAACAAAGTGAAGTATTCGTTACTCTCAGGACCCATAAGAGAGAGAATAGTTTGGGGTTGAGAGCACCCAACATAACATATAAAAGAGTAAACTTGTTCATTACTCTTAGTACCAAACTTAATTAAAGGCATTAGGAGAAAGAGAATAGTTTGGGACTGAGAGTACACAATATAACATATAAAAGAATAAACTTGTTCATTACTCTAAGTACTGAACTTAATTAAAGGCATGAATATGTTCAATACTCTTAGTACCGAACAATATTTTTTGCAAAAACCAACTTTAATACATTTTGGAATTGAGAGTGCTGAACTAATGGGCATTTTGGGAAAAATAATGGAAGGGAAAAAAGGGCATCTGTGTAAAATTGAAAATTTTCAGGACAGTTTTTAGAGATCCCATGAAAAAGCGTATTTACATTAATTTCGCAAATTTTATCTCTTAAACTGTATTAGTGGGTTGTAATATGTTTGCACCATTACTATAGTTCTTTACATTCTAGCTCTTGCATTTTCCTAGAGGTGCATACAAAGTAAAGGAACATGCTTCAACCAAGGAAGCTCAATGATGTAGTCTTCTTCAAGTTTACTTTGGGTCTAAAGGAGCATTTCAATGATTGTCCAAAGAGGGTTACTATTGCATCTAATGTCATGGATGATGGCAGTGAGTGATGCTGGGATTGAAGAGGTCTTCCCTGGTGATGTTCGACTTGTGATGTGGTTGAGGGGGCTTCAAGACAAGCTTTCGACCCAAGGAGGACCACTAGATCGATGGCAACCACAACTCCTCATTCACATGGGAGGAGGGAGATTGAGAAGTTGGAGGCCTATTTGGGAAAAAATGGGGGCAATTAGGTTGAAAAGGGTGATGAATTTGATGATGATAGCCTGGAATTATTTGGAGGCTCTCGTGACAATGCTAATGATTACATGGAAGATTGAAGATTGAAGACTAAATCATTTATATTTTATTATTGTATTGTTTCGCTCTTCTTATTTTCATGATATTGTGGATTGGATATTTATGGAGTTCGTGAGCTGTGGATAGGTGGCTATGTTCTGGTATTTCAATGTTTGAGCACGTTATAGTATTGGACCATACATGGAGCCATGGGCTTACATATTTTGCTCTACGGAATTGACATTTTGATTTTATATATGTTATTTCTAGTGTCATTTACTCTTTGTGGTTGTCAGTTAGTTTACTCCGACATCTATTGATTTATTACATTTGTGAAATGTGATTCAGTGATTGCAATGTGGTTCAGCTTGAGGTGTGTGTGTGTGGGTGGGTGTGGGTGTGTGGATGCATGTGTGTGGGCATGTGTGTGTCAACAAGCATACATATACACAATTAATATGCACTTCTATTGCATGTATATATGCATGTACATCTTTTGGTATACACATATATGTATATGTGTCTGGGGCTCCTTGAAACTGACGTGCCTAGGTGGCCAGACCCCCTTGGGCACCTAGGTGTTGCCCATAAATTTTTGAACCTTGACCTTCAAAAACACATAACATATTTGTTATTGTGTTTCTTTTGTCTATGCTGTGTACTGGTTCATTCAGTAAAGTTCTATGTGATGCTTTATACCATACTTTAGGAGTCTTTTAGTCCTTTCAAGAATTCCAACATATTGCTCTGCATTCTAATGCAGCCGTTCACATTGCATCATTAAAATTCGTGGCATTCCTGTAGAGACATTTGATCGGAAACATGAGATGCAGAATGTTGCTGTCCTAAATATTATTGATCTTGCTGGAGCTGAAAGAGAGAAGAAAACAGGGAATCAGGTTTGTTTGATTTATTATTTATGCATTGGAGTTTACTCTTTTGCTATCCCATTGGTTTAGATTCTGAAGTACCTTTTGAGCTTTGTTATTGTTTGTGGAATTGCCTTTAGGTCTAAACATTGAGTTCAGAATAGGTGGGAAGATAACTGAATAACAGTGTTCGAAAAATCGAAACGGCCTTGGAACCGGTCAAGGGCCGGTTCCGAGTAATCGGTAAGCTGGCCTAATTGGGCAAGTCCCGGCCGGTCAAAAAAGTGTTCAAAAACTAAAAAAATACAAAAAAAATCTAAAAAAGAATATGTAAAATATATTTAAAGCATGATTAAACAAAGCACATCTAAATGAAATTGAAAATTAGTGAAAAAATTGATTTTAAAAATCGATTTGTGCCTTGGGGTACTTTTGAAAATTTTCAACAAAGATGGGAAATATTAAAATAAGTATTCGTGGTCAAAACACTTTCCAATCTTTACCAAAATGTTAAAAAAATTTAAAAATGTATTACAAACAAATTCCTTATTTTTTTGGATTTTATATAATGTTTTTTGAAATTTTTTTAAGAATACACAGCTGGATCACCAAACTGGCCAAAATTGGAACCAGCCAGTGCCCAGTTCCGATCTAACAGGCTGGTTCCGATTTGAACCAGCCGATATTGCAACACTACTGAAGAATTTCATTTTGGTTTTTGAAGTTAGTTTGTATATGTTAATTCAACTTATTTTTTACTTCTTACCTCCAAATCTAATCATGTAATGGTAAGTCAAGCTGGATTTATCTGTTGGGTTAATTATTGCTGGATGAAAGCAATGGCAAATACATAAAGGAGTGCCTCTTGATATCTGGGCTTGATGTAGGACATGCAATATCTTATCTGAGTACTAGTTGTGTAAGACTTTAAGTACATGGAATGAGTACAGGGCTAAGGAGACATAAGTCCTTTATTCTGATTGATGATACATCCATGGAAATGTTCTTATGCTTGTACGATATACATGACAATATATCCTTACCAAATATTAAAGCCCAAGTGCATCCTAATTTAATACAATACGATACACAATTATTTATGGTCACTAAGTTGAATTTCTATTAGTAAAATAGTTGTCAATGTTATTAATATTTACTATTTGTTTTTTGTGTTAATCTATTATCATTTTATTCCTTCTTGTTTATCAATATTGCGTGCAAAACTTCTTTTTATAACAACCATACATTTCAAAAGGGTTGCTTTCCTTTCTAGATTCGACATTAATGAAGTGAGTGTTCTATTCTTTGCTTTGCATTATATATGGAGTCCTTTGTCTAAATATGTACTTTGTGTCTTGCTATAGGTATTCCTATTTCAAGAAGTCAATTATTTAAATAACTTGTTTTCATGGATAATGGGGCTTGCGATTTTCATTTAATTATTAGAAATTGGGATAAAGCTTGTTTGTTTTTCATTTATTTTACTTTTTTGGCTGTGGGACTGGGGGTTTTGTTGGTTACCCACTCTTTATGTTTCTTTGTAAAAAAAGCATATATGCCATTGCTCCTCTGGGCAAAGGTTGTTCTCAGAAAGAACTAAAATATATTGAAAAAGGTAGCCCCCCCTTTCCCTTTTCATCACCCATAAGTTAGTTAAGAATGAAGAGTACATGAATAGGTAAAAGGAACTTAGTCCTTTGCCATTACAATTCCCATAAACCATCTAGTGGTTTTGTTTTTGAGGGTTTCACTTTTCATCATTCGTTCTCACACTTATTATTTTTTGCATATTTTATGCCTCTGGCTTCCCTTTTTCTTTTTCTTGGGCTATCAGTTGTCCGGCAGTTTTTTTGAAGAGTTTATTAAATATTATAGTTCGATTTTTTGTGGCAATCATGTGGTCTTGGAAATCTGGTAGAAATAGTTCATTGCTATGCTTTTGATGTTAAATGCTTACTTTAGTTCTGGCTTATTTGGTGACTAGAGCTTACCAGACTTTTTTGTTTTGTAGGGAGCAAGATTATTAGAAAGCAACTTCATTAACAACACCTCTATGGTTTTTGGCCTTTGCTTAAGAGTATGATGAAAGGGATTTGGAGTATAGATTTTTGTTGATTTCTACATATACAATAATTAGTTACCTCTTTTCTGGAAATTATTTCATTGTTTTAAGATGAAGATGGATGTTCCATGTTCAAACTATGAAATTTAATCTGTGTTTTTATTCTAGGCCCTGCTAGAGCATCAGAAGTTCCCCAAAAGACCATTTCAAAAGCACTTCCAGAATTCTTTGGTATGCGTGTTTCCTTTGTTTTTAATTTATATTGTCCAGACTGTTATCTTTGCAAATAGAATGCAACTGTTTTTTTCATCCATGTATGTTTCTATTGATGTCTATATCTGTGGATCTTTGAAGTTATTCATACGTGGGTGTTCGTATCAATATTGTGTATGTGCTGGCTTGCATTTGTCTAAACAAACTTTTTCTTTTTGACTATGGGGCTTGTATAATGCGTGCTAATGCCTTGTCTACTTTAGGGTTTGGAAGCTTAGGATTGACATGGGTCATTTTGTTTTTATGTTGCAGCTAACCAGATATATTAGAGATTATTTGGAAGCCAAGAAAAGAATGGACTTGGTAGGCTTTCTGTGCTTGTTGTATTTACTTTAGAACTCAGATGGGGCTAAGAACATCTTTAAGTTGATAGTGGCTATTTCCCTTTTTTGGCATTCAATTAGTTAATACATTTTGTTGTGGTGCCGGTCTGGGCTTATGCTGATTTTTTTTCTAAATAGACTTATTATGTTCTCTGCTGTCATATTTTGTGCAATATTCTTTGTTTGAATTAATGGGTAATCTTTGTTTTATAAGCTGCTGTTGTTTTGGTGGATAGCATCTTCATGCTCCTAGGAGTCAACCTGGATCTTCAAAGACTTGCTCTTAGCACCTTCATGATATCATAACCATGCTTCTGGTCAAAGTCTATGATAGAACCTTCATTCTCCAGGAACTTCTATGACCCAGTTTGGAGTTTTTGTTGCATCCCCAATATGTCCCATTTATAGTACAACTTTGGCAGATTACTCGAGACAAGTGAGCCACACCAAATGCTGAGGTGAAGGGTCAATGCATATAAAGCCTCATTGTCTGCAACTTATATGCCACCATACGGGCCGTATATGCATGACAGAGTGCTTTTGCTTCCACAAGCCTCATGTCTTACTTTAAAATAGTAAAACATGTAATGTAGTTATGGATTGAGACAAGGAATAAGGGATTGGGGTTGTCAAATTCAGTTCTGTTTTTTAAGGAGTTGGCTTTCAGAATGGTGCATTGGTTTTGTCAGATTTGTATTCTGTTTCTCAGGATTTCGGTGGGTGGGTGGTATTATTTAATAACCATGGGGGACCATCTAATATTATCATACATAAACTTTGTATAATTGTTGATTATTAGAATGATTAAATAACCCCCCTACATATATCAATGATTGCAGTTTTGTAGGCCATAAATATCCCTGTAGATTTGGCGTGACATAAGACCGTTTGGTGATCAAACAGTTTGACATGTGTCCCGTGAATGATAAAAAAGCTGATAGACACCTATATATGCAGCTGCAAGTACATCAGTGTATCATACAACATCAGAACCCCCCTGAAACTGGCGCAAAAGTGGTGAGGAGTGACAATTTTTCAGTAGATAATCACAGATGATCATGTCACTCTTTGTAAATTGGGTTAGCAGATGGCGATCTAGTCTATAGAAGGCAACTAAGGGAGAGGGTGTGAGAGAATATCACTAAGCCTTTTTTGAGTAGAATGACCACCAAACTAGCATGCTATTTGTGAATATATGGAGCTAGTGAATCTCAATGGATCGAATGACTGCCAACAGTAGCATTCTATTTGTGAACATCTGGAGCTAGAGAATCTCAATGGATGCATAAAACATGGTCTCTTGCTCAGTCTCAGTACTGGACTTGGGAATAATCTCTTTCTTGTTGCAATTTTAAAAGAGGAAAGAATCTCCTAGAAATATTTGATAAGCAACTGTCGATTAATGAGTTTCCAGAGATCCAACCCAATTAAATCAGCCCTGGCACCAAGCTGCAGTTCAGATGTGGAAGACAGAAAAAGACCATGTTAAGGTATATATCAGCTTAGCAAATAATAATATCACTCAACTCTTGAGGAGCCTAAATAAACTTAAACATGGAGTAACAACACAAATGGTATCAGGTCCAGCATAGCGGAGTTATAATAGTTGTCCAAGTGTCTGTCGACTTGGTATTAGATCGAGAAGTATTGCTTTATTTGCTGCAAGGTGCTGAGAATGTCGTATGCCTGAGGTTTCCACGAGTGCCTGAGATATCCACTAGCAGTAAGATTACTGCTGAGAGGCAGTGGTCCCTTTAGAAGACTAAGTAATCTGTGGACTAGTAAACTATGGTAGGGCCCCCATGTTAGTCTTATCATATTGCTGTATGAGTTGGTCTGTTTAAGTTATGGTGTTTATGGGCTTCTTGAGGGTGGTCATTAACTTTATTTCATATTACTAACATTTTGTTTCCTACTTCCTCATTGCAAAATTTTAATAGGATGCACATTGATGCATTCATTCTTTCCTACAAAACTGGGTGTGATGTGAAATTTTCTTATAAAGTAGTTGAATGTGTGCTCTTTTTCCTCGTACATGTCTTCCAGTCTTTAGGTTGCATTATAAGGATGTTATTTTGTGCTTAAAGCCTTTGAAATCCATGTCTGAGGCAGTTCTGTCAGAATTTGGACATTCATAACTTAAGGCATACAGATGTTTTTAACAGTACTATAATTTAGTCATGCTTTTGTTTTGGCTGTTTTGTAGTATGTATGAGCATTTACCCATTATTATTATTTTTTGGGTAAGTCAGTGGGGGAGACGGCCCCCTACCCGTTTTTTCATTAATAAAAGAGCAGAAAAAAACAATTAACGTACAACCCTATAGTAGGAAAATTGCGCCAGATCATGTAATAAAAGAGAGGAAAGAAAATCTGGTGGTCTATAGCGCCACACAGTAGCACCAGGGTCAGCAGATGCCCTCTTAGTTAGGGCATCAACAACCATGTTTGCCTCCCGAAAAACATGTGTAATGGACCATCGTTGAGATGAATGGGGCACTGCATCGATTCTGAATGATATCACAAGCAAGGCCGAATTACTTTCAATCTGTATTGGAAAGCAATTCTTTTGATGAACCAATTGAATTCCTTCCTCAAGTGCCAAAAATTCTACATCGTTATTAGAAGCAAAATCAAAATGTTTTGCAAAAGCAGCAATGAAACTACCCTATCTGTTCCTGATGGCTCCACCACCACTTGCTAAACTTGGATTTCTCATTTAAGCACCATCAATATTGAGCTTGTAATTTTGATCTTCAGGAAAAGACCATGCCACAGGAATAAGGGATTTTGACCTCTGCTGACGCCAAGTTATCTGAAGATTACCGATTATGGCCTTTTCTGATAAATGGAAAGACCACTTTTTAACTTCTGCTAATGCCTGAACATGTAAGATAATCCGTTTCACAATAAGCTCTCTTCTGGTGGATCTTGACTCAAAGACTCTTCTGTTGCGCTCTTCCCATAGAAACCAAATAGCTGTAAACAAGATGGAAAACCAAACATTACGAAGTCCATGTGATTTAAACCTGAAAAGTAACCACTACCTAAGTAAATCAGAGACAGAAGTATTAAAGACAAACCGTTTTCCACATAAGCTCATGATCTCCATACACCTTACACAAAAGCACATTGGAATAATAGATGAACAAGACTGTTATCATGGTTGTTACAAAAGGGACATAAAGAGTCTAGTTGCATACCCCGCTGCTGCAATAAAAATGAGGTGGGCAATTGATTATGCAAGGCTAGCCATGAGAACCATTTTGCCCGTGGGTAGCATTAAGAGGACCAAAGTGTACGGAAAATAGGTTGTGATGAACCTTGATGCCTAATAAAATCCCATGCCCCTTTAATAGAAAATAGGCCATTAGCAGAGTGAATCCAGACCAGTGAATCCTTTTTGGGCTGTAGAGGAAGAGTATAATTCTCAGACTCCCTCCATATATTTCTCAAAAAATGGGATGTGGCTGAACCCAAGACTGAGGTGAACCTCTGATAAATTTTGAAACCCTCCTTCCTGCAGTAGCCTCCAAATCCTCCTAAATGTCATTATCATGCAAATTTAAAAGTGACTGACCTGCTAACCATGGATCCACCAAAAAATCCACCATCTGACCGTTACCAATATTCCACTGTACATTACCTTTCAAGTGGAATAAGTTAAGTAAAATCTCCTTCCATGCATGAGAACATCATCTTCTTCCTTCAGCCTCCCATATAGAGGAATTTCTAAAATATTGATGTTTGAAGAACCGTGCTAACAACGAGGATGGATTTTCCAAAATCCTCCATGTTAACTTCATCATTCCTGCGTTGAAATCCGCCATTTTCCATACCCCGTGGCCTCCTTCAACCAGAGTGAGACACACTGTTTTCCATTTTATACAATGAACACTTGTTTTCTCTGCTTCATCGGCCTATAAGAAGTTCCTCTGTAGTCTCTTTATCATATTACATGTTTTCTTTGGGAGAATGAAAGATAACAATCAGAAAACTGCTGGTGTTCCGAGTACAGGCTGAAGCAACTGAAGTCGACCTGCATATGAGAGGCATAAAGGCTACCATGACCAAATCTTATCAAACACCTTACCCACCAGACTATGGCAATAATTGTGCCTCAGATGTCCACGAAATATTGTGGGCCTTAGTAGCGGACTGGAAGGACTCCCTCAACAAACTTTAACTCCCTCAGAATTCTCCCACGTCCTCCCCGTGGTACTCCAAAGAAAAAAACCTTGCTTTTAGATGAATTCAAAATCTGACCAGTACTCCTTTTAAACTTAGAACTAAGTTCATCCATAGCAGTGGCAAAAGAAATGGATGCCGCATAGAAAATAAGCACGTCATCAGCATAAAAAAGATGAGAGACTCCATAGTCACACCCTGGGAACCATGCCTTGCAATATAACACAATCAAGCTGCCTACTAAAGAAATCCATGACCAGCAAAAATAGATAAGGAGATAGAGGATCCCCTTGCCTCAAACCTCTCTTTCCTTTAAAATATCCCTTGGGTGAGCCATTCCTCAAAACAGAGAAGAAGCGAACCCAAGAAACAAATAGCTCAGGAAAGCCCAAAGCATGCATCCTACCCACAATAAAATCCCAGGAAACCCTGTCATAGGCACTTCTCAAACCGATTTGCAGACACATTTTAGGCCGAGCTGAATTCCTATGGCAAAGAGACATAAGTTCATTTACCATAAGAATATTATCTGTAATAAGCCTACCTTTCAAAAATGCAGCTTGCATAGGGTCGATAAAATTAGCAAGAACAACTTTTCGCTGATTAGAAATTACTTTGCTGATCTTTTCTTTTGTTAATGTTACTGTTAACTTTATCAAAAAAAAAGAAAAAAAAAGAAATCAATTTGCTGATGATTTTGTACAAGACATTACACAACCGTATAAGTCGAGGTCTTTTATCACCCTAGGTGCATCCACTTTAGGAATCAAACATATAAAAGTGGAATTGATTTGCTTGAGAAGCTTACCTTAGTGAAGAAATTTTTAAGGGCCAAAAATAGATCCTTTTTACCATTCAAACTTGTAGAATTCCACTGAAAACCCATCCGGACCTGGGGCACTTTCATTTTTTTTATGCTAAATGCATGCTTTGATCTCCTCCATATTTACTGCGTCCGCTAATTTGTCCTTCTGAGAATAATTGAGATGAAATGGCGACAAGAACTGATCAACCATGTGCAGGTCAATATTGCTCTCCTGAGCTAATTGATCTTTAAAAAAGCGAATCATATGATTTTCAATGTCAGCCTTAGTAGACCAAAAATTCTCATGCTGATCTTTTAAAGAGATAATTCTATCATTCCTCCTTCTCACCACAACCGATAGATGAAAATATTTGATATTGGAGTCCCCTTTTTTTAACCAGTTTTGACGTGATTTTTGCCTCCAGAATCTTTTTTCATGGCCCAGAAGAGTTTGCAATTTTTTAGTACACTCTTTTTCCTCATACATGAATGTCTCATTGGAAGGATCCATGTGTAAGCTATCATGCAAAGATGATAGTTGATCTCAAACTATTGCAATGGATTTCCCCAACATAGGCAAACACATCCTTGTTCCATTACTAAAGGTCAGCCCTAAGCCTCTTATGTTTAGCAACAAAGCGATACATGGGTGTCCCCCCACTTGGCATTGCCAGGAATAAAGATAACATGTAAAAAAGTGTGATGCTGCTCCCACATAGAGAAATACTTAAAAGGTTTGGGCCCAACCGGAGCCAAATAAAAAATAGAGACAAGTAAGGGACAATGATCTGAGGTGCCTGTAGGGAGTAACTGGATTTTGGATTCAGGGAAGGCCAAAACCCAATTAGTAGTTGCTAATGCTCGGTCCAACCTTCTTCTAATGCATCTTTTGCTCAATTGGTTATTAGACCAAGAGAACCACCCTTTGACTGCACCAAGATCAGCAAGAGCACAGTCCGACATTACTTGAGCAAAATCGCCTAAATCTGGTGGTAAAGAACTGCTAGCCCCCACTTTTTCCGAGGAATCCAATAGAGTATTAAAATCCCCTAATCCCAGCCAGGGAAAAATAATAGTTGCTCCTATATCCCTCATATGGTCCCAAAGCATGGCCCTTTGGGACACATAATTAGATGCATAAACTCCTGAAACAACTGGGATGTGTCCATTACAAGCGGGTAGCCTGCACAAATATCATTTGACCATTTACATCAATCATTTTGATTGAGTAAATTAAAGGATTCCATAGGACTAAAATTCTGGATCTACCCTCGATCTCATTAGCAATAAAGTTATTATAGAATCCCAACTTTTTAGACCTAATACGGCTCAACTATATAGGATGCTTAGTTTCCAATAAGAAAAGAATACCAATATTATGTTGTCCTTTTAAAACCCCAATATCCGATATTCTGCCCCGGCCTCGAAGGCCCATGACGTTCCACGCTGCAATTGACATAAATAAAATTAAAGGTTTGGTTGTTTGGTATGGGAAACCTTACCTTCAGAAGTTGTAGGAGCACGTTGAGCCTTATAAGGTAACCCCTTCTTGTCACTAGTAGCTACTAGAGTTAATCCTTTCATATCACCTAAAGCTGATAAAAAATGCCCCTTCTTGATACCAGTAGCTGCCAAAAGAGAATTTCTGATGCCCAATACATCATTGGTGACCTTGGCAATTTGATCCAAACTCTATGGGCAACCTCCATCTCCTTCGTAGAACGGAATTGAAAAATCAAGAAGCCCCTATCAGCAGAGAATACTTCAACATCACGCTCAAGCCTCCACATTTTCTTCAACATCTCTTTCATGTAATTCCAATCGGGTCTGCGGCCTAAGAAATACCCCAATAAGCAGTTTTCCCACCTACTCCGACATGAGTTGATCTACTTTTAAATTTTGACATTATTAACTCTATGACAGTGCAACATTTGAGGTGATGCTTTTCGGAATATCCCATACTCATGGAGCTTCATAGGATATGATCAATAAGTTTTCTCCATGCAGATCTGTAATTTCCGAGGTGCTACCTCTAGTAGAACTCCTCATGCTCCAATAGTCCAATATTCTCTGCCCATATTTAAGTTCCATTCTGGTGCTGTCTTAATTCCATTTTCTTTTTTAGGTTTATAAATGTGTTTGAGTTGATTTACTTGCTCTGGTTTCGTTTAGCAAATTCAGTTTTGCTCAAAGGGTGCATTGCATATATTCTTTCCACATCAATTGGGTTAAAATTATTATGTCTTTTTCTAGTTTCCCTAACATTTTGTTATGCAATATTTTAATTATTTGCTATTAGGCATATATTGTATTGCTTCAAGAATCTTTATTATGGTTTTAAATTCAATTTATGGGAGTTGACTTGTTCATTACATAGGGAGCTCCTTTTGGTCATGGCTTGAAGGTCAGAGTGCGTATCTTTTTGTTTTATAGACAACTAAACCATACTCTGTCTGTTGAATCTTTACTACCGTGTAGATTTTAACAGTGAGCACTGGGGAGGATGATCATGTTGATACATCTTTTGTGCTGAGGCAGGCTTCTCCTTATGCGAATATCAAGTACTGTTTGTCAAACTTTCGGCTTTGTCTATTTTGATGTACAATTTAAGTATGTTCTTTTTACATTATGGTGGTATTGATCCAAAATTAAGGAATGCAGCCGTGACATGACATGTAGAGTCAATGTATAGTTGATCATAGATTTCTACTTTTTGGTTTGAAAAGGACTTGAGAATCTGAGGAGCTTAGTTTGTTACTTATGTATTAGCAGTGATAATAGTGCAAAGGTTGAGGTTTCAACAAATGCATGGTTCCAAATAATTTCTCTAAAGAATGTTGGAATTGGAGCACAAATATTTTACATGCTGTGCATACAATATTTAGAATAATCCATTGCCTACATTGTCATATAGTCTTTCTTTGCATGATTCGTTCTTTGTTTTTTTGAATGTTAAATTGGGATCTGGTGAGATTGGAACTTTAGACATCACGTTGTGGCATTGCCACCCTGAGGACCTCTGCCTAGAGCTTTCCTGCAAATTTGCATCTCTATGTCCATTTGTTGCCAACCTCACAATTGTATGTATACTTCCTCTTTAAAAGATGGTAAGTGCACTGATATATTTATCAATCCTTCAGAATGATACATGTCATCTCCATTGTAGACGCCCGAATCTGCCATTCAGTATGGTATTGGAGATGACGTTCATATTCATAACATTTTGCTAGGATTCATGCATAATATTTTACGATCCCTGGAAGAAAGGAGTGAAGATTCTGGCCAAAGTGATGGAAATTGTTAAGATGGTTTTTTTTTTTTTTCTTCAGAAAGGAGTTTCCTATGGATTTTAATTTAGAAATGGGATTGGTCATTTCCCAACTGACTGAGCAATTAGTGAGTTTTAAAGCTACACATGGTTGGACTTGTTTGCCTGGTTTCATTTTTAATGGTGTATCTCTGAATGTAGCTTCATAAGATAGAAGAGTCTATGCTTGTTACATGCTCTGGGTGCTATATCGTCTGCTTCAAGAGGGAAATCAGTTGCCATAGATTGTTCACAAATCACTAAAAATATGGCCACCTAGATTCTCAGGGTGATGAAGTGAAAGCCCTCAAAGAATTTGACCTTTGGATATCATGTGTGATAGTGCATGTAATGCGAAAAATGAAAACTGATGATTCATATCTCTCTGTTTGGATCATGATTATATCTACACATGGATATCTTCCAGATCAGGCTCCTCTAGAATTCTAAGGCTTATATACCACAGAAATGGATCTATTTGTCTCAAGAGCTGTGTAAACTCTAATATGGATTGGAAAAGCAATTTTGAAAGTCCATGGAATGAGTCTGGGTGAAGGAGCTGCTGTCCTGCTTTCTCATCAAACCTTAAAACAACCCTGATGTTGGTGGAATATGCACTAGGAGCTCTCTTTAGATAGTGGCAACCAACAACTTATCTTTTATTGAATTCCACTCAGTGTTCCAAAAAACGCCGGGCAGCGCCTAGGCTGATGCCTGGACAGGCGCCCCAGTAAAATAAGAAGTTGTTTAAGGTCAGATTTTGTGTGAAAAAAAAATGAAAAACACATATTGGGACGTATTTTAGTTCATAATTCCATGCACTTTAAATTCAAAGAGCAAACTTTGAAGTTTAACTTCAAATCATTAGGCATTAGAGTACTAGACCATATCCATAGTCCATACCATAATCTAAACTCCATGCACACCATAGTTCATACACAGTAAAAACGAAAAATAAGAAAATATAATCCAAGATAGAAACTTGGCAAGACATCGATTCATCATCAAGAAAATGAAAGAAAATAAGAAATAACACATAAGAGTTAGGGGGCACATCAAATATTTATAGTCCACAAGTCCACATACACTCCTTCGTATTCAATCTAGTTTTTTGAGGTTTCCATCTCTCTAAAATGGGCTCTAATAGGGTTTAGGTTTGAAATGAATCTAAACTCCACCATTTTCCCCTCTTAAAAATGCCGCTTAACAAGGGGCATTTTTGCCCTTGGGTGGGGCGCATGCTGCCTATGTTTACCGCCTCACCCAAGCCCCCTGGACCGCCTAGGTGCTAGACGGTTCGCCTTTTGGAAGGTGCTAGGTGTGTGAGTGAGTTGAAGGCCAACCCCAAAGGTATTCTGGTTGTACATGCTGAATTAACCCAATGTCTTATAAGAGCGTACAAAATGGGACTGGAGTGAGTTGAGGTATCAAGGCTATACTTAGTTGTCTTAGAGCTAGCTATTCATTGATTTATGATGTAGGCCTTTATCCAAGATATGCAAGGCATTTGAATCGGGAGACTATCCCACAAGCTAGTAAATATGCCTCAATTTGGAAGCTAGGAAGGGTGTTTCTCCAATTTGGAAGTTTTAGATTCTTGAGTGAACCAGGCCAACCCATACCTTTGATTTTTTGTGGGAGATTTGATGTTATCATTCAAAAGGAAAACATGGAGTTGGCTTATTATTAGGCATAACATGCTCGTGGATCTCCTCACATAGGTGGCTTAAATGTTTTGCTAAACTTTTGTGGTGACCATGGAGCCATTAAGTGCCAATGTTTGAAAATTCGACCGCCTAGCGCGGGCTACCCTAGGCGGTGCCTTGCTCGCCTAGGTGGGTGCCTAGTGCCTGTGCCAATGCTTGCATCTTGGCCTTTTCCCTTCTTTCTTACATTGCAAATTATATATTTTATTTTATAATACTACATAGTGCTAGCATTATTACTATGTATTGACAGTTGTTGTACTATAATATATTAGAGTACCATAGTACGATAGTAAATTATGGTACTAGGTATTATATTACTTTAGATTATTGTAATACGATAATACTATGTACATATTATAAAGTGTTATATTATATTAATATTATATATTATATGGTACTATATAGTACTAGCCATTATTGTAAGGACCATTACAATACTATAGTACTAAACAGATTTATATATTTGCTTTGTGGGGTAGAATGTTGGGCGATCAAGAAACAACATACCCATAGGATGAGTGTAGTTGAGATGAGGATGCTGAAATGGATGAGTGGCAAGCAGTGTTCGCAAAATCGAACTAGAACGGTTAACCGGACATGGGGTTGGGAGCGGTTTGAAATGGAACTGGACTAACCGGGGTGGTTAACCGGATCAACTGGTTAAGTAGATTTTTTTTTTTAAATGGATCCACCCCCCCCACAAAAAAAAAAAAAAGAAAAAAAAAAGTTTAGATTAAGTGTGTACTATCATATTACATACAAAAAAATTGAAACAACTTTTTACATAAATTAATATTTGAATACTATGGAGATATGCAAGATAATTTATAATTTGACATTAATTCAATTGATGAAGTTACAAAGTCCAACTAACGTTAGTAGTAATGAGACTGGCGAGGGGGATCATGGTACTGTTATGTTTCGCTATCAGGGTTTACGGGGCAAAAAATCTAAGGCTTGGTGGAGTCTGTAATGACGAAGTTGTGCCGCCTTGCCAGTCAGGAACATTTCCCGTGGTATCCCCTTGGCCAAAGTCTCCAAGACTCGACCAGCCTTCGTGGTCTCCCTCACCCTATTCTGTGTTACCCCCACCTTATTTTGTGTTACCCCCACCCTGTTCTATGTTATGGCCCCCACAACAGCTTCAATATTGTCATCATCATGAATAACTAGGTTATGGTGTCGGCTACGGCTTCGTCTCTCCATTGTCGAGTAGCTGTTACGCCTCGATGTATGGGCTTCCTCCCGAGTCAATCTCATTGGATCTTCTTGATCATCAGACACCGCATCATGTTGCGCCCTTTCACATTTCTGGACGACTGGACCTTGCCAATCGTTTTCCATTGTCCCATCTGTCTCCTCATTATCCTGCGCCTCATCTTCATCTTGTGCATAATCGTCATAGCCGGTATCCATATCCACTGCCATGTCTCCTTCATTGGGTGTTGTAACATCTGCATTATCATCCATATTGGCAACTGCCTCACTAGGGAAATCCTGGTCTAGTAGTACGGTCCTTTGTGATACCCCCTCATCGGCGAGGTCTCTCTGGAAGATTAAATTAAGGTTGATCAGTGTGTAGTATGTGGGGGTCCTCCTTATATGTCTATCTCTCAATTCCAAGTTGTAATGAACATATACTAAGTTGTGCAGTGTCTGAGCTCTAACCTATTTTGCCTCGGGGCGTGTATCCACTGAAATGTACTCCAGTTTCTCTCACATCATGAGGAAGCACATGTTTGATTCAAAACTCTAACTGCAATCTTTTGCAATTGCTTTGTTTGAATTCTGTGTATCGTCCACCATTGTACTGACACAGACATACATAAAAATACTAAACAATAAAAAAGAAATTGATTTAAAAAAACTTCAAATAGTATTGCATTAAACTATTATAAGTTTTAAGTTAAAACTAATCTGAGTGCAATTTTCCAGCTGCTTTAATGGCATTGTTGTATGTAAATTCCCCATTTTTTTCATGTACATGATAAGCTACAAATAACAAGATGCATATACAAAAATTAGTACAATATAGAAATGCAATTCATTATTATGAATTGAAATTTTATTACAGACACGTTTTGATTAAGGTTTACCTGCTGTATACACTCCATCTGAGTTTCAAGATCTGGCTCAAGCTTGTAGATGCAGTTTCTCACCCCCTCCATGATATCAGCATCATCTAAGGTGGCATTGGAGTACAAGTTTTGTTGATTAAGAAAGTACCATGCACATGGTTTGTTATATGATTAATTACGGTAAATTTACTTAGAGTTGAGAAAGAATCATGAATTGGGATAATGAATCATAAATTACCTGCCGCATGGATATCCTACTGCAGTTGGTCTCTCCACCTACGATCAACGATCACCAATATCTCATCAGTCTATATGTTATTATGAAATAGAGCTTCCCTTACGCGTCTCATTGCATCGAACAGAAACCTCATTACGGGTTTATCATCAGAGTCAATTAACCTCAACATCCGCACTAGAGGTTCAGTTACAGAAACAACATGGTTGTATCGAGTCCAGAACCTCCGATC